TCCCTGTTAGAATGTATTAGGGCAGATATTCATGTCTGTTTCATTCACCTGTGGATTCTCAGGGTCTGCAACAGTGCCTGGCATGCAGCAGGTGTTCAGTAATTGTTGAATGAATGAATAAATGAATGACTGGAGCCAAGCGTGAGAGAGGGGTTTTAAAACTTCATCGTGATTTCACAGCCTGCTAGTGGTAGCATCAGAGTTTGAAACTGGGTTTCTTTGGCGTTCAATTCAGAGTAGGAGTGGAGGAGACCTGGAGGAGAAAATAGCACATCAAGCCGAGGCCACAGGGACGTGTCAAGGGTTGGGAGGGCTCCAGGTAGGAGAAGAAAGGAGGAATATGGTCCACGTTTGTGCACTTGGCAACAACAGGAAACGGCTGTGCGATTTTGAGCATGTCATTTCCCCTCTTGGAGGCTCAGCATCTTCAGTGGGCTAGGGATGGGGATGGAGGGTGTGTGAGCATCTTCCCTGCTGACATTCTGGGAGGCCAGCCCTGCTCACTGCGCACACAGTGGCCTCTGGCAAGTGCTGGGTTTCCTCCCAGCCTGGCTCCTCCTTCCTCCTTCTGTGCCACCCGTGGCTCTGGCACCAACAGGAAGTTCTGGGCTGGCTGGTATGTGCCTGGGAGGAAGTGACTGAAGCAAATTGAGAGCTTTATGACTTACCTGGGCAGGGAGGTGGGAGGGGAGACTGCCGGGGGTCTGCCTGCCCACCCTGCAACTCCTCAGTGGGACTCTGTGCCTTCAACTTCCCCCAGCTCCCACTGCTGGGCCAGCATCCCTGGATGACCATCGCCCTCTTCCCCTGGCACCAGTTGCACGGGGACAGCCCCAGATGGCTCCTTGGCCTGGGGACAAAGGCTGTGCTGTGCCTGGCCCTGGGCTGGCCTCAGGCTGGGTCGTACTGAGCCCTTCTGTCCCCACTTGGGGGTGAGGGGCAGACAGCACTAAGGTGACAGGCCTTTTTCCTGTCTCCCTTCCCCCTCAACCCCCAAATCAGAGGAGCTGACTCTCCCAAGGGAAAAATGACAGAGGCATCTTGTGTCTTGACCTAGGAAACAACAGACTATTCACTGCCTAGTCTGCCCTGTCACACCCAAGACCCTGCCGGGTTCAATGCCCCGACTGTCCCCAGCAGAGAGAGACATCCACTCTACTGTGGTCACCACCCCCACCGCCTGCTCCCCTGTTACCATCAGGAAGTCCATCCTATATCTGACCTCCATCCCTCTTGCTACTATGGCAGCCACTTCCTCTCGAGCGCCTCTCCTGAGGAGGATGAATAGCTGGTCCTGGTCGCCTGCCCTGCCTGGCCCCATATTCCTGCTCCAGTGTGCTGCCCCTGGCCTCACCCTCCCTCCAGCTCCCTGCCCCACTGTCCACCCCATCCCAGGCACAGGCTGGTGGCTCCTTGCTCCTCACTAAACCGTGGGGAGAGCAGGTATGACTCAGGGTTGGATCTCCTTTGTCTTGCAGAAAGTGGGGGCCTCCTTTCCAGAGGCCTTTAATGAGCTCCCCCCACCAGCCCTATAAGCAAGAGCAACGGTGTGAGATTTATGGCGGCTACTGGTAGATTCCTGAGCCACAAACCCAACATACCATCCCATAAATCCCAGACTGCAGGACGGTTTTATTGGGAAGCCCTGTTTTTAGAAAGAGGTGTGGCTGGTCTCCCTTCTGGCGGAGGTCAGACCTCAGGGAGCCAAGCTCCTGCCTCTCCCACCCCCAGAGAACAACCATGAGGAAGCACAGGGACATCAGTTCCTGCAGTGTAGGTGCGCCAGCTCCCAGCAAGGGAGATTCCCCGTCCTGTGGGGGGCCTCCTGCTTCCCTCCCCTGCTCTGAGGATCCCCCGCCTCAGCACGGGAGGGTAGTCTGGAAGCCTGGGCAGATATTGTCCCTTACCTGGACCTCAGATGTTTCCTGGTCACGGCTCCAGATGTACATCATTGGAGATATTTACAAATGCATTTTCCCAGGCACCATCCTCAGAACCTCAGTTCCAGAATCTCAGGGTGAGAGACCTAGGAATCTGAATTTTTTTACAATGCTCCCTGGTGATTCTAATGTTCACCTATCTTTGAAAATAATTGGCTGAGTACAGTGGCTCAGGCCTGTAATCCCAGCACTTTGGGAAGCCGAGGTGAGCGGATCACTTGAGGTCAGGAGTTGGAGACCAGCCTCGCCAATGTGGCAAAACCCTGTCTCTACTGAAAACACAAAAATTAGCTGGTGTGGTAGTTCGGGCCTGTAGTCCCAGCTACTTGAGGCTGAGGCACAAGAATTGCTTGAGCAAAGGAGGTAGAAGTTGCAGTGAGCCAAGATCGCACCACTGCACTCCAGCCTGGGCAACAGGGCAACAGTGTCAAAAATAAAGAAGAAAAGAAAATAATTGATCTGTACAAGGGGCCATCTCCACTCTCCTATCTTGCTGGGAAGTGGGAGTCACCAGGTAGGCATGTCTGGGTCCTCCTGTCACTGGGACCCATACCTCCTGCCACCATCATGAAGCCTCCAGATTAGATCTCTCTGGCCTGGATGCTATACACAAGTGTGAGGCAGGGTGGCTGCCCTCCGGAAGTCTCCTGTCTGTGAGAGTCCTGCAGACCGCAAGCCTGAGACATTGCACAGCCCTCCTCCATGGGGAGTGGCTGAGGATGGCTGGCAGGAAGGAGTTTTGGCATGGAGAGTCAGGAACGTCCAAGGCTGGTGGGCTCTGCCAAGGAAACCGAAGAGGAAACGCTGCCAGTTACCTTCTCATCAAAGGAGGCATCACCAGCCCCTGAGTTCCTTGAGAACAGAGACCACCTTTTACTTGCCTCTGAAGCCCTCATGCCTGGCACAATGCCGGTGCATCGTAGGTGCTCAGCTTTTATCTGTTTGTTTGTTTTTTGAGACTGAGTCTTGCTCTGTCACCCAGGCTGGAGTGCAATGGCACAATCTCCACCTCTGTCACCCAGGCTGGAGTGCAATGGCACAATCTCCACCTCTGTCACCCAGGCTGGAGTGCAATGGCACAATCTCCACCTCTGTCACCCAGGCTGGAGTGCAATGGCACAATCTCCACCTCTGTCACCCAGGCTGGAGTGCAATGGCACAATCTCCACCTCTGTCACCCAGGCTGGAGTTCAATGGCACAATCTCCACCTCTGTCACCCAGGCTGGAGTGCAATGGCACAATCTCCGCTCAGTGCAACCTCCGCCTCCAGGCTTCAAGTGACTTTCCTGCCTCAGCCTCTCAAGTAATTGGGATTACAGGTGTGCATCACCACACCTGGCTAATTTTTTTGTATTTTTAGTAGAGATGGGGTTTCACCATATTGGCTAGGCTGGTCTCAAACTCCTGACCTCAGGTGATCCATCCACCTTGGCCTCCCAAAGTGCTGGGATTATAGGCATGAGCCACCAAGCCCGGCCAGTTTGTTGAGTGGAACTGAGACCAGGGCCCACTGACAGAGATGGGCCTGCCTAGCAGTGCAGACCTGAGGCCTCCCCCTTGAGCGGTGCCAGCCCACTGAAGGAATGGAGAGCCTATTCACACTTAGCCACAGGGATCAGGGCGGCTGGAGGGCCACCACTGAGCTGTGTTTGGGGGCAGCCAGGAGCATGTGCTGCCAGACAGAGGACCCTTTCCAGGCTGGCTGAGGACAGAAGGATGTGATCATTAAGCAAAGCCAACATGTTACTGAACCATAATTCCTTAAACCAGGAGGATTCGGGAAGGGCCTGGTCACCTTGGCAACTAGGTGCTGGCCAGTGGCGGGGCTGCTTCCAGGAGTGGGCTGTGCCTGGGGCATGGGTAGCAGCTGGGAGCGGGTGCAGAGTGGCCCATTACAGGGCTATCCCTCTGGTGCCTTCTTGCCAGCATGGGTGGGAGCCTTTGTGAACCCTCAAGGGCAGTGTGTGCAGAGCAGAATGAGAGGGGGCTGCATTAAGCATGTAAGAAACCATGGAGGGGAGGTGGGACAGCACTGCTCTGGGTTTTCAGAGCTGGAGGGAGAAGGGAGGGTCTGCAGGAAGAAGCAGCTGCATGGGGTCATCGGGTGGCCAGCTGGGCATCCTCAAGTTCACAGGCACGAGGGGCTAGGGAGCCCAAGGAGGAAAGCTTTCACAGCTGGGGGCTGGGGCGTGGGGATGGGCAGAGCGGCTCACGCCGCTCCTCCATGGTGTTCTTGGTAGAAGATACCCTGCCTGCTTTGATGGCTCTGGCATGGGAAGATCCCAACAGGGCTCAGGCCTCACCCTCCCTAGGGCTTAACTCTAATTCTGGCAAGCTTCCGTGTTTCCCCTGAAACCTTCCCCTGCTCCTGACCTCCCATATTTCAGCTGGAGAGGAGGTGCAGCTGGGCAGCTCTGATACATTCTTCCCTTCCCTCCTCCCTTGCCTCCCAGGGCATACCAGAGCAGGGACCATCGTCAGGTGTCAGTATTGAAGGTCAAATGAGGTTTGGTCCCTATCATGTCCCAAGGGTGTTGGCCAAGCTGAGGCTCACTTTATGGGCCTTGGTCAGTAAGATTTACTGGCTGTGGATACACTCAAGCTCTGGCAAACAAGTTAGTAAATTTCTGCTGTCCCAGGGACTGACTGGTTCTGGTGCCCTCCCTGCCACCCCAGCCCTTCCCCCAGAACTCTGTAGACCTCCAGCAGCTAAGGGCTCAGGTCTAGGGGCCTTCAGGATCCTCTATGTACATCATGCCCGCTATTATGACCAGTACTTTGCTGGACTAGGTGGTCCATAGAGAACCGCACTCAGGGGTGAGGGGTGGGCAGTGCTGGGAGTCACTAGGAGGAAGAGGGTGACTGGGAAGAAGAGGGTGAGCACCTACTCTCTGGGTGTAGGGGGTCAAACTTTTGAGAAAACACAACCCTGGTTCCTGGTGGTAGTGGCACACAGGGTGGCAGAGCATGATGGGAAGACAGCTGAATTCCCAGTGGGTGGAGACCCGGGCTGGTGGTCTTGTTCTTCTCACCTGTTCTTCTCACACCTCCCATCTCAGGGCCCGGCTGCCTGCTCCCTCATGATCATGAACAAGATGAAGAACTTTAAGCGCCGTTTCTCCCTGTCAGTGCCCCGCACCGAGACCATCGAAGAATCCTTGGCTGAATTCACGGAGCAATTCAACCAGCTCCAAAACCGGAGGAATGAGGGTGAGAGGTCTGGGCCCACCCCAGCACCTCTCCCACATTCAGACGTTTCCCAGGCACCTCCCTCCCCTCCCTGCCCGGCCCTTCCCCACCGGCCTTCGGGGAGGAGCACAGGACTGGGGGTGGGGGGCTACCCTCCTCCCCCTCAGGGCAGAGAGGCAGGGAGGGGAGCTGATGCCTGTCCCCTCAGACCTGCAGCTCGGTCCTCTTGGCAGAGACTCCCCGCAGGAGTGCAGCCCCTTCTCCCCAGCAGACAGCGGGGAGGAGCCAGGGCAGCTGTCCCCTGGCATGCGGTTCCAGCAGCGGCAGAACCAGCGCCGCTTCTCCATGGAGGTGAGTGCTTCCGGAGCTCTGACCTGGGAAGGTGGCATGGGCAGGAGTGTCCATAGGAGGGCAGCTGCCTTGCAGCCAGGCTTTGTGGGTTCAAATTCCAGCTCTGCCATTCATTAGCTCTGTGACTTTGAGCAAGTTACTCAACCTCTGTGCACCATTGTCTCCTTGTCTTTAAAATGGTCATCATGGATTAGGTGGGTTAATCTATGCCAAGTGCTTAGAACGTTCTTGAATTCAGCAAGGGCTAGACAACTTGAGTGTTTGTTGTTTGATGTTGAATTCAGCAAGGGCTAGACAACTTGAGTGTTTGTTGAGTGTTTGTTGTATGCATGTGTCCAGGTATATATATATTTTTAAAAAGGCTAGGTGCAGTGGCTCACGCCTGTAATCTTAGCACTTTGGGAGGCTGAAGCGGGTGAATCACCTGAGGTCAGGAGTTCGAGACCATCTTGGTCAACATGGTGAAACTCCGTCTCTGCTAAAAATACAAAAATTAGCCAGGTGTGGTGGCGTATGCCTGGAATCCCAACTATTCAAGAGGGTGAGGCAGGAGAATCCCTTGAACCTTGGAGGCAGAGGTGGCAGTGAGCCAAGATTGCGCCACTGCACTATAGCCTGGGTGACAAGAGTGAAAATCTGTCTCGAAAAAAAAAAATAATACACATACAGAATCAGTGCCTGTAAGGGTATGAGATTTATGTGGCACAGATGGCAATACTGTGAGCCAGAGAGGCGGCAAGTGACCTGCCTATGTCAGCACAGCAGCCCCAGGTGCTCACGAGTATGTCTTGAGCACACACGTGGAGCAGCTGTGAGCCTGGGGTCACAGCCTGTGACTGGGCTCTCAATGGTTGCTCTGCAGGGAAAGCTAGGTCCAGAGTGAGAGTCTGGGGCCCACAGCCCTAGCTGCCCTGGAGCCAACAGTGGTCCCCTGTCACTGCAGGATGTCAGCAAGAGGCTCTCTCTGCCCATGGATATCCGCCTGCCCCAGGAGTTCTTACAGAAGCTACAGATGGAAAGTCCAGATCTGCCCAAACCGCTCAGCCGCATGTCCCGCCGGGCTTCTCTGGTGAGTCCCAAGAGGGTAAGAGGACACGAGGGTGGGACTCCCTGCTCCCTACCATTGCATATCAGTCCCAGCTGAAGCCTATATGGGGTTTCCAGAAAGATTCCTGGGCCTCTGGTGCCACCTGCTGGCATGAGTGCATTCAACTAGATTGTCCTCCTAATCAACATTCATTTTCTAGATGGGTCCCACGTGGGCTGGAATGGGGCTCTAAGCCCACCCACACTGGGCCCCATGGTCTCCACGTGGTTAAGATCAATAGGCCAGCTGGCGTGTGCCTTCTAGTCCTAGCTGCCTATCAGAGCTGTTTGGGATATTTTACAAAACACAGACTCTAGGCCGTCTTGTTAAGGGTTGGATACGCCTGAGCGAGAAGTGTGCTGATGAGAGACACGGTCAGGGAGGTGGGTGCTGAACTGCACACTCAAGGTACAATGGGGGAAAAGGCAGGATCTGCTCTGGAGGAGCTCGTGGTCTCGGTCAGAGACACAGGTGGCCAAGGTGTGCGACCATCCCAGGTGCCACAGCTCTGGACTCTACGCTCTTGGCTGTCCTGGGAAGAAGCTCACACTTCCACAAGTTCTGTCCTTTGTCACAGGATAAAGGGAAAAGGAGCTCCTTCCACCATGGAGTTTCATCCCTTCCCTCCCAGAGACTGGAGCCTGGGGAGGTGTCATGTCTGTGGGGCTGCCAAAGCCTTCAAGCTCACGGCATTCTATGTCTCTCCCTCTCAGTCAGACATTGGCTTTGGGAAACTGGAAACCTACGTGAAACTGGACAAACTGGGAGAGGTAAGATGCTGGGTTTGGCCTTCTCTGAATAGTCAGGCAGGATGGCTTGGAGGAGGGGCAGGCCTCCCCGGTCGGCCCTCTCCGATTGGCCCTCTCATGGCCCCTGCCCCGTCGAGGTGCACAGCCTTGGAGGTGTACTCTGGCCCAGCCTTTGGCGGGAGTTGAAGTGGGCTCAGATCCTGAAGGAGGGTGTGAGGACAGAGTAGCCATGGAGCTGGGCAGAATCCAGTCTTTTTTTTTCCCTGCCAGTCGTTCTTGCCTGGGTTCTAATCCTAGCTCCACCATTTACTAGCTCTGTGAACTTCAGTGAGTTACATGACCTCTCTGTGTGCCTCAGTTTCTTCCTCTGTTCAATGAGATAGTAACTCTCCTACCGCACAGCGTTACCGTGAGGATGAGGGAGGTCACTGTAATCAGCTTGTGTACGGCACACAGACGATGCCTGGCACATAAGAAGTGCTGTGTCACTTAGCTATTTCTGTTGTCACTGTGCAGAGGCCTGGGGTGGGTGAAGGTTTACAGAGAGGGGGAACACACAGCCCTCTCCCTCCAGAAGCCCAAAGAGGGGATCTGTGAAAACAGCGTGGTATAAGGAAGAGAAAACCCGGTGTTACCGTAGAGGGTGACACGGCATGCTGGGACTTAGAGGAAGGAGTGATTATCTCTGACTGGGAAGTCATTAGGGACACTTCCCAGTCGGGGAGCACTGGACCGAGGCCAGCAGCACCTGAACATGCCTGGGGCCGCTGCGGCCCTCTATCCCAGGGCACCTATGCCACAGTCTTCAAAGGCCGCAGCAAGCTGACGGAGAACCTCGTGGCCCTGAAGGAGATCCGGCTGGAGCATGAGGAGGGAGCGCCCTGCACTGCCATTCGAGAGGGTACAGTGTCCTAGGGTCCTATGCTACCCCCGAGGCTTCTGGAGGAGGGGTTCGCCAGCCTGTGCCCTGGTGGGAACTGGAGGTGGAGGGTCATTGCTGGGGTGGGACTCCTGAAGCTGACGCCAAAAAGAGAAGTTATGGGGACAGAGAGTCCTTGGGACCCAGGCGGGCCTGTCTCCCCACAGTGTCTTTGCTGAAGAACCTGAAGCACGCCAATATCGTGACCCTGCACGACCTCATTCACACAGATCGGTCCCTCACCCTGGTGTTTGAGTACCTGGTGAGAGTCGGGCTGGGGCTGCAGTCTCTCCTCTTGTGGTGGAAACAGGGCGTGGGTAGGGGAGTGGGAGGCTGAGGGAGTGGGAGAGGCGGGATGCGGGCAGCCCAGGCCTTGTTCTGGAATCAGGTTCTCAGATGCTCCCATGCATGAGTGGGCCAAGCACTCAGGCTTCTGGGTGGCTGGAGTCAGGGACCTGTCCCACTAGTGGGCATGGGCCCTTCCCAGGGCAGGGCTTCCTCTCCTCAGCTTGTGTCTGGGCTTCTGGGCAGAAGTCAGCAGGGGGCAGGACTGAGCCAGGCTCTGTGTTCCAGGACAGTGACCTGAAGCAGTATCTGGACCACTGCGGGAACCTCATGAGCATGCACAACGTCAAGGTGAGGCTTCCCGGGCAGGGTACCCCATCTTAGCAGCCACCTGTCCAGAAGCCCGGCACGGGGACCCACTCTCACCACCAGAGCTCCGGTGAGGCGGCTCAGATCTTCCCACACAGGAAGGAGGGAGAGGGCCCTGCCATCAGCAAGTCCAGAAACTGGGTTGAGCACTTCACCCTGGGAACAGACACATGTTCTCTGCCACCGTCTAGCTATTGGTGTAAAGCCTGCTCCCAACTCTGATCATCAGTTTCCCCATCTGTCAAATGGGAGTGTAAGCTACCTGCCAGGATGCAAGGAGGCTTCTGGGGAAGCTCAGGGTTATGAATGACCTCTCCTGGTGTTCGTTAAAAAATCAAGGCTGGGCATGGTGGGCCATGCCTGTAATCCCAGCACTGGAAGGCCAAGGCAGGAAAATGACTTGAGCCCAGGAGTTTGAGACCAGCCCGGGCAACATGGCAAGACCTTATCACTACTAAAAGTTGAAAAATGAGCTGGACACAGTGGTGTGTGCCCGTAGTCCCAGTTGCTTGAGAAGCTGAGGTGGGAAGACCACTTGAGCCCAGGAGGTTGAGGCTGCAGTGAGCCATGATCACGCCACTGTACTCCAGCCTGGATGACAGTAAAACCCTGTGTCTAAAAGAAAATGAAAGGATCAAGCACATACTTCTCCACATAGACAGGCATCCTGACCCCTGTGCTCCTGCCTCAGACTTCTCTGGCCTCCCCCATACTCACTGCCTCGTCTGCACCCCTGGTGTCCCCCACTCTGGATGGGATTCCCTGGTGTGGGTGGGGCCCAGGATGGGGGCTGAAGAGTGGGCAGGAGAATGAGGGGCTTGTGCTGACCTCACCACCAAGCTCCTGCCCCCATCCCAGTCCCAGCCTTGGAGCAGAGGCTCAGGGCCACAGTCCACCCAACACTTCTCTTCCTCCTCCCCTAGATTTTCATGTTCCAGCTGCTACGGGGCCTTGCCTACTGTCACCACCGCAAGATCCTGCACCGGGATCTGAAGCCCCAGAACCTGCTCATCAATGAGAGAGGGGAGCTGAAGCTGGCTGACTTTGGTGAGGCTGGGGTTAGGGTGGGGTCTGACGCTCCCTGGCTGCACAATGGCCTCAGGGTGTGGGTGCAGTGGGGGAGGGCATAGCAGTCAACCCCCCAGCACCTATGGGCAGAGGTCCAGTGACATGTCTGCCCCCAGGACTGGCCAGGGCCAAATCAGTGCCCACAAAGACCTACTCCAATGAGGTGGTGACCCTGTGGTACCGGCCCCCTGATGTGCTGCTGGGATCCACAGAGTACTCCACCCCCATCGATATGTGGTGAGTGAGCACTGTGGGGACCGAGGTGGGGGACAGGCCTGGCTGCACCTCCAGACTCTCTTCTGCTGCCCCAAGTGCCTCCAGGAATAACTGCCTAACTTCCTTCACCTAAAAGCCATGTGACATCCTGCTGAACTGGATGTTAAAAAATTAAGTCTGAAATATAATAGATTAGGGTTTCCCTGGCTTAAACAAACCCAAGGCTGTGCATCTGAAATCCTCCTCCAGGGGCCTGTGGGGTGTTACCAGAGACCCAGAGGGTCCAGGACGACCCCCATAGTAAACACAATGAATCTTCCCCAGGCATCAGTCCCAGTGAAAATGTTGAAAGAGAAATTCTATTTTTATGTTAAAACGAACAAGGGTATGATTTGGCGTAAAATGAAGAATCAGCCCAATTGAAAGCAGGCCGCCGGTGGTGATGAATGGCTGTGGCTCTGCCCCAAGGTCCCCAGGAGAATGGATTTATGTACTTCTCTCTTCCAGGGGGGCGCACAGTGGAAAGAGTTTCAGACGACACTGCTGAAAGGACTGCCATATGGGCACTGGCTGCACAGACCCAAACCTCACAGAGTGAAAGGGGCGAGGTCGCAGCTTTCCCAAGCCCAGGGAGTCCCCCAGTGAGGGGCTGCAGTGGGGACTGGGCAGTTTAGGAGCCTCCACTGCCCTGGGCCCCCAGACCCGCTGCCAGAGCTACGACCCCTGCAGCCGCCTGTGGCAGGTCGTCGTCGGTGCCCTGGTGCAGCAGCCGTAGGAAGGGCGGCCGCCCCTGCCTGACGCTGCCCCTGTCCCTTGCTCCCCGCAGGGGCGTGGGCTGCATCCACTACGAGATGGCCACAGGGAGGCCCCTCTTTCCGGGCTCCACAGTCAAGGAGGAGCTGCACCTCATCTTCCGCCTCCTCGGTAAGTCTCCCGCGGCTCCGTCCCTCTCACCACCAGGAGGCGCCGGAGCTCCGTCCAGCCCAGGCGCCGAGCGGGACCGGGAAGAGCGGGTTGGCAGGTTCCCTCCGGGGCGGGGACCCTCTGTGGCCTTGGCCTTGGGCCTCAAGCAGGCCCTCCCCATCCTCTCTCGTCTCCCCAGGGACCCCCACAGAAGAGACGTGGCCCGGAGTGACCGCCTTCTCCGAGTTCCGCACCTACAGCTTCCCCCGCTATCTCCCACAGCCGCTCATCAACCACGCGCCCAGGTAGCCCCAGTGCCCGCGGGGGGGCCCCTCCTGCTCTGGCCCTGGTTTCCCAACCCCCTCCCATCCCTCCCCATCCCCCTCCCACCGCCCCTCCACCCCCCCTCCCCCTCCCACCGCCCCCTCCTACCTCCCATGCCCCCACCCACCCCCCACTCCCGCTCAGGCACAGCCAGTGCCCGCACCTTCTCCTTGCAGGTTGGATACAGATGGCATCCACCTCCTGAGCAGCCTGCTCCTGGTGAGTGTCCTCCCGGAGAGACCGCCAAAGTGCCCAAGTCCCCATGCCCCACGCCGGGCCTACACCCCAACTTCTGTGGCTCTTGTGCTCACACGTCTTTGAAACATCTCGCCTGTACTCTCCACCCCCAAGGCCAACGGGAGTGCTGGCTTCTGTACGCAGCTTCTGGAGTCTGTGCACTGCGATCCCAAACCCATTACTAGCTGCGCAGCTCTGGGCAAGTTACAGAGCTCCGCCATGCCTCAGCTTCCTCAGCTGCAAAATGGGATTAATGATTCCTATTTTACAAGCTGGCCGTGAGGATGCACTGCGATGGCGGGACACACTGAGTGTGGTGCCTGTCTTATAAGCCACACGATGAAGGGTCTGTCGGCGCCCTCCTTCCTATTACTGATGTTCACCTTCTCATCAGAGTTGGTTTGCATCTGTGTTTCTATCCCAAGAGAACGTCACTCTCTTGAAGTTTCATTTCTATTTTTTCCTGGTGGCCGGAGACGGGGGAGCCTGGATCTTGAGATGCCCTAAGGTTGGGATTGCATGGAGGCTGACCTGGGGCATCTCCTTTGAGCCTCAGGCCCCACCCACCTTGGTGAGCTAAGGCAGCTCTGGAGTCCTGCTGCCCAGAGGGCTCCCTGCAGCCCCCCAGCCAGGGCCCAATAGCCCCACCCTGTTCTTTTCAGTATGAATCCAAGAGTCGCATGTCAGCAGAGGCTGCCCTGAGTCACCCCTACTTCCGGTCTCTGGGAGAGCGTGTGCACCAGCTTGAAGACAGTGAGTGCTGGGGGGGAGGGGGCAGGGCCACCCAGAACCAAGGAAAGGGGGTGGTGAGTGTGGGCAGAAGAACCGGAACAGAGGCCAGAGGCCCCAGGCCCAGCCAAGCAGCCCTGGGCACCTGGCCTCCCCTGCCTGGGTTCTCCTTCCGAACTGAGGGGCAAACAGTGGAAGTGACACGCTGCCTCAAGGGCTCAGGTGGTCTTTCTGGGCCAGTCCTCACTGGAGGGCCTCCTGGGCCGGGCACTCCATGGGAGTGGGGGCAGCAGGCTCCCGGAGCAGGGCCAGCTCCACCCAGCCCTCTCTCCACCATGCCCTTCTCTCCCCCAGCTGCCTCCATCTTCTCCCTGAAGGAGATCCAGCTCCAGAAGGACCCAGGCTACCGCAGCTTGGCCTTCCAGCATCCAGGTAGGGGCTTGTGCCCTCCTGGCCCCTTCCTTTTGTTAGCGGAAGCCAGTGCAGTGACTCTAACCCAGTGGGGACTCCCATGGACCCTCTGCCACTGGCTTCCCTTTGGAGTCTTTGGGGAGCAGAGAAGGGGTTGGTTTCTCCTGCCTAGGCTTCCCCATCCACTTCTTCCCTCTTCAACCCCCACCACAGACAGAGCATTGCATCTGACAGTAGCCCTGGCAAAGAGGCGTGCTGTCTGTGGTGCATTCTCTCTGCAAACCCTGAGCTCTCTAATCAGATTCCACACTGGGAGAATGGTACTTTGTTCCTAGAACCGTTAATGGCCTTGGACATGACAAATGCTTTCCATGCATCCTCTCCTTTAATCCTGAACACGCCCCTTGAAGTTGGTACTATTAATATTCCCCATTTCATAGTCAATGAAACTGAGGCTCTGGGAGGTCAAGTCACAAGTTCATGAAGCCAGTAAGTAGCAGAAATGGGATCCGACGCCAGGTCGGACTGGCTCCTGCGTGCAGGTCCTTGCTTGCTGTATCAGAGCAGCTCGGGAGGACAGCGACTATTCCTGCCGACCTGGGGCACCCTCAGCCCAGCCACCCCTCTGCAGTCCCACCTCTTCCCCATTCTCCAGGACGAGGGAAGAACAGGCGGCAGAGCATCTTCTGAGCCACGCCTACCCTGCTGTGTCCCAAGGGGCAAGAGGTCACATGGAGCACAAATTCGGGTAGGACGGCGCCTGTGTGGTCCTCGGAGGACTGAAGAATGAGGGCTGACAGCCAATCCGGAAGACCGCTTGGCAGCCCTGCTGGCCACGGCTGTTTCTTCTCTCTGCTTCCCACCTGCCTCCCCGGTGGCCCTCACCTGCATACCAACCCCTCCATCACTCACCTCGGGGCTGGCATGAGCTGCTTCCCTGAGAGGATGCGAGACGGTGGGGGAGGACCTCGTACCCTCTCCCACCCTGAAGTGCTTGGGCACCAGCGTGGGATGCACATGGATGGGAGAGCAAGACACCAGGATGGGCATTGCGCCCTGGGTACAGGCTCTACCCTCCTCTCCCAGGGGACTGCCTAGTCCCCCTTTGTGGCCCCTTGGAGCCCACACACATTTCATCTTTTTCCCTCCTACAGCAAGAAGAGACGGCATGCTCTCTGGGACCCTGGAATCCTGGGTGCCTATGTGTGTGCCAGAGCCTGCCCCACCTGGCAGGTGTCCCAGTGACAGAAGGAATAGTTCTCTCTTTCCATCAGCCCTACCCTACCCTCATTCCCTTGACACCCTCTAGCTTGATCAAGGCTGAGCAGCGCCGGCATGCTTGGATGCCCAGCTGTGTGCAGAGGTGGCTTGGGACTGCCACTTGCACACCTGCCACCTCAGCCAGCCCCCGCCCAGCCCCCCAGTCTGAATGGAGTTGCCTTATATTGGCAGGTGGTAGCACGCTCACTGCCCTTGGAGCTGTGACCCGGCTCCTGCCTGTCCACTCCTTCCCGAGGTGGCTTCTGCTTATCTTATCCTGGGGTGCTGATTAGCCAGGCCTGGTCAGGATCCTAGGCACAGCACCCAGATATGCAGAGTCACCCTCACCCTGGTGCCGGTCTGACCTCGGCTCCCAGAGGCTGGCACAGCCTCCCCATCCCTCCTTCCTGGCCCTGTGACTCTGTCCACCTGATCCCAATACCAGTTTCCCTGATCCCCTGCCACCCCAGAGGGTGGCCACAACAGGGAGATGTGTAGATGCCACCATCTGAGGTAGAGGAACAGGGAACAGGAGCAGGCTCTGACGCTGAGAGGCTTGCCTCCGGGGTCTGGCAGCCTGAGTGGCATGGCTCCTGAAGAAGGCACCCCTCTGTGTCCCCCAGGTCTCCTCAACACTGGGCTGATCTTGAATGGCACAGGCCAAGGGGAGGCTAGCCTCGCCTTTCTATCTAGGCCCCCTACCCTGCCCACCTCAGGCCCCTACCCTCCACTCCTCCCCATGGTACTGTGAATGTCTGTGACTCAGCGCAGAGACAGATAATATATTTAATTCATGGTGTACAGAAAGGAATGAGCAGTCTTGTACAGAAAAGCTGATTTTGATAGATTGATGCCAAAGATGGAGAAGCGAAGGCCCCTCTCCAGGCCTAATGAGTGTGGGTGGGGCATGCTTGAGTGTATGTGTGTGTGTGTATATATACATATATATATTTAATGAGAAGAGAGTTTGGTTTGTGTGTATCTCTGACCTCCCTCGCACCCCAGGCTGTGTCCAGCATTCATCCTGCTGTATCCTGGGTACTGCTGTTTGGACCCAGAAGTTGGCTCTTGCTGAGGAGCATCAATGGTGTTTGTGGGTGGGTAGAGGAGCCCCAGGCCGGGGATTCACCCAAGTTGGTGCCTGGGAGGGTGGGGCTAGCCAGGAGAGCAAAGAGGGACTCCTGGGCGGGGGTCCGGGGTCTGGCCATGCAGCTGATGCCTGGGCACCAAATGGCCCCCGGCTTCTGGGGAGGGAGGGAGGTGAGATCAAGGTGGGGTTGACTTGGAGATGGCCAAGGCTGGCACAGCAGGATGGGCTGTGGGCCTTGCTGTAGTTCAGGCCCTGCGAAAATGCCTGCAGACCTCCAGTCCGCCTCCTGCTGCTGCCCTGACCACCTCCCGGCCTTGGATCTAGACACAGCCCCCATCACACACAGCTCCCAAAGTGCTCAGAATCCTGCTGTTGTCCAATTCGGCATCCAGGCTTGTTTCTCCCGAGAACACCTGGAGAATGCCAGGTCCCAAACCCTGCCCTCTGACCTATTCTCATGCCTGGCCTTAAGCACTCTGCAGTTTGCTGGCATGGTTTGCAGTTACTGGAGAGGGTGGCTGCCTTCCAGAGGAGGAGGCCAATGCTGAGGCCAATGCTGCCTCCCAAGTCTCTGGAAATAAGGGGTGGACCAGGGCTCCATTCTCAGCCCATCACCAGTTCTACCGAACAAGACCTCCTCACTTTGCTTGTAGGCAGCCAGACACCAAAGCAGGATCGTAACTCAGACAATTAGTGCTTGAAGGGAGGAGAGGGGCTGGGAAATGCATTGGCGGGAATTGGAAGCCAGACATTTATTAAACTCCCTGCTGGATGCCAGGCAGCCCTGTGCCCAGGCATTGTCTCACTGAATCACAGCAACCCCCTTTCTCCCCACTTTGCAGATGAGGACATGATCCTCCCAGGGGTTGCCTGGGGTCACATACCAAATTAGAATCCCAGGTGTCTGCCCCCCAGTCCTGTGGTCTTCAGGGAGTGGGAGGCATGGGGAGGGCGAGGTGGAGACAGTGTAGAGGCCCTAGAGGGAGGAAAACACACAAGGAAGGGCATGGGCAGATGCTGCTTTGAGGAACACCTTGCAAGGCCACCCTTGTGGCCGGCAGAGGTGGCCCGGCCGGGCTCCTGCATCTTGAGGAGTCTCTGGGGGCAGCTGTCCTTGCTGCTGCAGCTTGGCCCTGCTGGGAGGTACACACCTAGGGCTTCTGACATGGGGCCCTCTGAGCCTCTGACCTAGAAAACTATCAGGGCTGAGGGTGCGGGCCAGCCTGGGGTTGTGGAACTCAGCTGGACAGGCTCACACCAGGCCTTGAATATGGTTGGTTCTCAAAAAGTGATGGCTCTGGAGAAGGAACCTGGGTGTGAAGAGGGGCTGAGTGCTTTTGGTCATGAGCTGCCACTGGGCTCCCAGGGACCAGGCTGAGCTACAACGCAACCCAATGTCCTGGAGCCCTCAGTTTCCTGGGCACCCCTGCAATCGTTTCCTTATGCCGGTGACAAAAACAGGAGCTAGCCCCATTCTGCTGGAATCCCTGACCCAAAGCAGCCTTTTGCAAGTCATTTCCCCCTCTGGCCTCACTTTTGCCGTCTGCCTGCTTCTGGGACAGGTCAGGAACATCCAGGGTGCAGATGCCTTCCCCTGCACTATGGCCACCTGGCAGGGGCATTCGAGATTTGTAGCAGCCCTGCAGCTTCAGACAAAAGGTCCCATTTGATGACTTCTACAGGGTGGGGGTGATATCAGCTCCTGTGCTTGGCGCTGCCCACATCACCTTGAACCCCGGTGGGACCTGGAGTTGGCTCTCCTCTGCCCATCCTCCTGTGGGCTCCCACTCACCCTGCCCTACTGTCTGGGTCCAGTGGTCAGGGCTGATATATAATAGGCCACCACTCCTCTACCCTGCTAGTCCCCCTGAACCAGCCAAGTGTCAGGCGCTGTTGCATACCTGCCCCTTTCCTCCCTCCTTGAAACATCCCAGCCTCCTTTGGGCCACCTCTTCACCTCAATCTCTACTTGGACCCTTGCTTCTGGCTGTGACACTTTACAGAACCCCCATGAGCCCCCGTTATCTCTAGAGCAAATCATCAGCCCCGTGAATTGGCCCTGTGCTGGACACCAAGACACCAAGATGCATGACATTCCACCCCTGCCTTCCAGAAGCTCAGACCTGCTGGCAGAGATGGCCTTGATTTCAACAGGTTTTACCAAGAACCCACTGTCCACCTGGTGCTGTGCTAGGCACTGAGGATACACCCATGAACAGGAAGGCCAACCCCTATTCTCATAGAGCTTATGCTCCAGTGGAAGATATAAGACATTATCCAAATAAACAGGCATGTCAAGGGGAGATAAGTGCGATGAGACAAAATAAGGCAGGGGCAGGGTGGTGGCAGGGGAGAGGAATGTGATGGCATAGGGTGGGGGACTGCCTGGTCAGGGATGGACCTCTCCATCAGAAGTAAGCTATGGGCTGGGGGTGGCAGCTCACATCTGTAATTCTGGCACTTTGGGATGCCAAGGCAGGCAGATTGCTTAAGCCCAGGAGTTTGAGATCAGCCTGGGCAACATAGTGAGACCCCGTCTCTATAATAAATACAAAAAAAAAATTAGCTGGGCTTGATTGCTGATGCCTGTAGTCTCAGCTACTCAGGAGGCTGAGGTAGGAGGATCACCTAAGCCTGGATCGAAGCCACAGTGAACAGTGATCATGCCACTACCATCCAGCCTGGGAAATGGAGTGAGACCCTGTATCCAAAAAAAAAAAAAGTGAGCTATGTTGTATAAGGGGGCCAGGTGGATAGCCAGGGACAGAGTGTTTCAACAAAAGCCCTGAGGGGACCATGCTTGAGAATGAGCCCGGCAGCATGGCAGGAGGGCTGGATCACGTGGGACGGTGGCTTTGCCCATTAGATCCACTGGGGAAGTGTTTAAGATACACTGCCATCCAGCCCCAGCTCAGATTGATTCAGATGCCCCTTACTTGTAGCCAGGGTTGAGAACCGCTCACTCATGCGGGCTGTGGTAGGGGTTCTGGATTTTATTCTGAGATGGGAAGCCACTGGCCTCTGTTTTTAAAGGCTCAGAGAATCAAATAGGAGGTGTCAACCCCTATGAGGAGGGTGCTGGGGCGGAGAGAGGAAGGATCCCCAGGCGGTGGTAGAGCAGCAGCAGGTGCCATGGGAAGGGAGAAGGGAAGTACCTGCTCTCCTGTGTTGCTGTGAGAGGGACTGTCATCCTAACCCCAGGGAGGGCCACAGAGGCTCTAGCATTAGGTAACCTATGTGGCCGCACAGGGAGTAAGGTGGACTGTTAGAATTCCAACCCAGGTCTGCCTACCTGAGCAGCTGCCTCCTGGCAGGTGTAGCCTCTGACATGGACGCTCCACCTCACTCATTTGAATGGAGGATGGGTGTCTGGTTTCCAGGGACTAGGAAATCCTTGCCTTCTGGTCACCTAAAAGCACTGTGGGACAGGCAGCCAGTAGGCACATGGGGGTTGGGCAAAAGTCACTATCCCCCACCCCACCAGGTGCCCCCTGCCATCACTCAGCCCCTCTTCTGGACCCTCAGAACTTCCCACCATTTGCCAGCTAAAGGCATCATTGGGCACTGGGGCTCTGCTCCCACCCCAGCTGTGGCGGCTGGGCAGCTGGCATCATTGCTGATGGTCAGTGCCCAGACTCTAGGCGAGTGTGTGCCAATTCTCCTACACAGGATGGCGGGGCCAAGGGCAGCTCTGATGAGATGGCAGATGCCACTTGGCCACTCCCACTTCCTCCCTTGTTTTCTCCTCTCCCTTCCTCCTGCTTCTTTTTCCTTCTCTCAGTGCCCCTTGGGGCACGAGGTATTACTCAGTGGGTGTCCAGAGTAACAATAATCTGACCCAGCCTCTTTTCTAAGGAAGAAGGAGATGCTGCAGCCTCTCCCTTCAATCAACCCAAGCCTCCACTCCCTGAGACATGATCTCAAAGCCAAGCATCAATCCTTGCTCCTGTGCCCCCAGGTCCTTCCCATTGATGTAACGAAAACATGGAGAGCTGTGGCATGGACAGGGCGTGGCAGGGAGGATCACTGCTGCCCTCCTGCATGAGGTCAGCACTCCAGCTTGCCCCTTTCTGGGCTAGAAGCTTCTAGCCCAGCTCCTCATCTCCCTGTCTCCGCCAGAGCTCCTCCCTCCTTAATTTACTCATTATCTATCAGATGATTTCAGACTCTGTGCCAGGCTCTGTTTTCAGTACCCAGGATACAAACCTGACCCTGACTTAGACCCCACTCCCAGGAGCTCAGCGTCTCAGAGGCGGCTAGGATGTAATCTTTTCTTCCGCTCAGCTTCTTAAGATCTCAGCTACTTGGGGGAAAGACAGTTGTCCATTAGTCATTCTATTAAAATTTGCCAAGGGTTTTTTTTTTTTTTTAATTTCAAGAACAATAAAAATGTTTAATGCCCTCATGTTTTCTCTGGAGGAGGGATTGACTAAGTCCTAAGTTCCTGGGGAGAAGGAATCTTGCACAACCAGGGAAATAACACAGAGGCTCCAAAATCACACACACTTGGATTGAAATCCCAGCTCTATGACTTGCAAGCTGTAGAGAATGCTTGGGAATATTCCTTAACTGTTCCATGCCTCAGTTTTCCTCTCTGTAAAATGGAGATAGTGATAACACCTATCTCACAAGGTTGTGAGGATTTAAGAATGAATATTTAGGCCAGGCCTCGTGGTTCATGCCTGTAATCCCAGTACTTTGGGAGGCCGAGGCAGGTGGATCACTTGAGGCTGGGAGTTCGAGACTAGCCTGGCCAACATGGTGAAGTCCTGTCTTTACTAAAAACACAAAAATTATCCAGGCATGGTGGTACATGCCTGTAATCCCAGCTACTTGGGAGGCTGAGACAAGAGAATCATTTGAATCCAGGAGGCAGAGGTTGCAGTGAGCCAAGATCACATCACTACACTCCAACCTAGGCGACAGAGTGAGACCTTATCTAAAAAATAAATAAATAAATATAAATTTTAAAAAGACCCACCCAGAGTACTGGGCAAGTGGAGCTTCACATCCTCACTTTGCACACTCACCTACTTCTCCATCAGCAGGAATTCCAGCTCCCTCCTTCCCCAGGGATCACAGTCCTGGAAGTAAAATGGAAGATCATATGCTTTTTTTTTTTTTTTTGCATTCTTCACTCTTGATAAGATCTCAATCAGCAAGAATGTATAAAGAACATCCTACTTAAAAGATTTTGCAAGACTTTTAAAAAGATGACCTCAGCCCAGAGTTTCGTTTCCATGGCAGCTTTAAATGTAGCTGGGGAAGTAAACATGGAAAGAGAATTTATGATAAAAGGCATTGTTGGGTCAGGTGTCACTCACAGTGGATCCGCTGCCTTTTGAGGTAGTAAGCACTTTGTCCCCTAGACTGGGAAACCACTTGGGAATTCCAGGGGCACCACTTCCCGTGGTGCGTCTTGCCAGGTTCCTGAGGAGGCAGCCGCTAGATCTGCACCTGGCCTGACCCTATTCCTTGCATCTCTCTTTTTTGCTGTGCAGAGTAGCAAGGTATAAATGGCAGATGAGATACGGTTCTCAGAGAAGCCAAAGGAATGTTGCAAAGCATGGTTCTGGGCTTGCAAACACCCTTCTCCTTGGATTCCAGAATGCCAGGGGCATCTTCTTAGCCCTGCCACTGGCTTTGAGGCCAGACTTGGCCTTTCAGGACCTAAGACTGATTCTGGGGTATGGGAATGAACTAATATAAGACTTTTTTTTTTTTTTTTTTTGAGACAGAGTCTCACTCTGTTGCCTAGCCTGGAGTGCAGTGGCATGAGCTTGGCTCACTACAACCTCCACCTTCTGGGTTCAAGTGATTCTCATGCCTCAACCTCCCAAGAAACTGGGATTACAGGCATGTGCCACCACGCCCAGTTAGTTTTTGTATTTTTAGTAGAGATGGGGTTTCACCATGTTGGCCAGGTTGGTCTTGAACTCCTGGCCTCAAGTGATCCGCCTGCCTTGGCCTCCCAAAGTGCTGGGATTACAGGCATAAACCACCATGCCCAGCCCTTAATCTGGGATTCTTAAAGCCAGAGTTGATGAGGGTAGGAGGGCCACCTCGGGGAAGAGGGGATGGGGCCAGGGTTAGGGCTCAGTATTGTTTCCTGACTTGGGCAGGTGCCTTGAGTGGCTGCCTCCAGCCTCCTGTGATTCCACACTTCCCGCCAAGTGTTCCACTTGGTAATGGAATTTACTGCCCAGCTTCTCTATAGAAGAGAAGGAGTGGGGGTGGGGTGAGGTTGAGATTTACAAGCAATAGAGGCAGTGCCTCAACATGAGTCCTGACACCCCCACATCCTAGTTGTATGACCTTAGCCACATAGCATGGCTTCTCTCTGCCTCAGTTTCCCCATCTGCAAAATGGGGTGATCATAGAACGCGTGTGGATTAAATGAATTAGTACATGAAAAGCCTGCAGAATTTACTGGTCATATAGATAGCACTACACAGTGTAAGCTGTTGTTATGTCATCTTTCTCCTGAGGGTAGAAACAGGCATCACCTGCCTTCTCTGTTTCACTGTGAGGGCTGTGACCAGGAGCCAAAGGTTTCTTTCTTTCTTTCTTTCTTTGTTTTTGGAAAGCAGTGTTTGGAAAGCAGTCTCTGTTGCCTGGGCTGGAGTGCAGTGGCACGATCTTGACTCACTGCAACCTCCACCTCCTGGGTTCAAGCGATTCTCCTGCCTCAGCCTCCCGAGTAGCTGGGACTACAGGTGTGCGCCACCACGCCAAGCTACTTTTTGTATTTTTTAGTAGAGACGGGGTTTCACCGTATTGGACAGGCTGGTCTCAAACTCCTGACCTTGTTATCCGCCTGCCTCAGCCTCCCAAAGTGCTGAGATTACAGGCGTGAGCCACCGAGCCTGGCCCAAAGGTTTCTTACTAAAAGGGGGAAGGGTTCCATGGGGCACACAACTGCATAAAACCCTTTCTATCTGTGGAGAACTACCTGTCCTCCTAAAATGGCATTAGAGTTTGGGAATTCTGGTGTCACTTATTCTAACAGATATAGAGGTTAGGCAAAAGGCTATGAACTTAACAAACATTACCTAAATTTTAAAGCTTTTTAAGGCCGGGCGCAGTGGCTCACGCCTACAATCCCAGCACTTTGGGAGGCCGAGGCGGGTGGATCATGAGGTCAAGAGATCAAGACCATCCTGGTCAACAAGATGAAACCCCGTCTCTACTAAAAACACAAAAATTAGCTGAGCATGGTTGTGCGTGCCTATAGTCCCAGCTACTCGGGAGGCTGAGGCAGGAGAATTGCTTGAACCCACGAGGCAGAGGTTGCAATGAGCCGAGATCATGCCATTGCACTCCAGCCTGGGTAACAACAGTGAAACTCCATCTCAAAAAATTTATATAAAAAATTTAAAAAAGCTTTTTAAAATTTAACAGACACTTATTTAAAAATTATGGGCCCAGGCACAGTGGCTCACACCTGTAATTCCAGCAATTTGAGAGGCTGAGGCGGGTGGATCACCTGAGGTCAGGAGTTCAAGACCAGCCTGTCCAGTATGGTAAAACCCCATCTCTACTAAAATTACAAAAATTAGCCAGGCATGGCGGTGGGCACCTGTAATCCCAGCTACTCAGGGGGCTGAAGCACGAGAATTGCTTGAACCTGGGAGGCGGAGGGTGCAGTGAGCTGAGATAGTGCCACTGCCCTCCAGCCTGGACAACAGAGTGAGGCTGTCTGAAAAAAAAAAAAAGAAAGAAAAATATCTCCTTGGGTCAGGTCCGGTGACTCACACCTGTAATACCAGTGCTTTGAGAGGCTAAAGCAGGAGGACTGCTTGAGGAAAGGCGTTTGAGACCAGGCTGGGCAATATAGCAAGACTTCGTTTCTACAGAATATTTAAAAAGTAGCCAGGCATGGTGGTGCACGCCTGTAGTCCTTGCTACTCTGGAAGCTGAGGCAGGAGGAGAGCTTGAGCCCAGGAGTTTGGGCTGCAGTTAGCTCTGATCGCACCACTGCGCTCTAGCCTGGGTGACAGAGCAAGACCTTGTCTCAAAAAAAAAAAAAAAAAAAAAAAAAAATTCTTGACCTAGATCCCTCTGTGAAACACTAGAGATTCAGAAATAAATAAACAGTGTTATATTCTCAAAGAATTGACAGCCTGGTAAAGGAGAGAGATCAGTTGCAGAAATAACAATGGCGTTGAAGTGGGTTCTGGTATCTGCATTTTGTAGGTGTAGTAGGAATTATCCCAGAGATTGTAAACAGCTGCCCAGATGACTTGATCCTTCCACCTCCCTGCCCTGCCTTCCTCAGCCCCTGCAGTACCTACCTGGCTTGCAAGTCTTGTAAACTGAGCCTAGCCTCCTTGCTAGGCTCATAGTTGTGAATGAAAATATGAATGAATTAATGTAAACAGGAAGTGTCTGCTGCCTTAGGAACCTGCTGGAACCCACTCTTGCCTGGCCAGCTCTCTCCCTTCCCTTCCATGCAGCAGCGGGCACCTCGGGGCTATCCTCCTGCTCAGACTTCAGACTTGAATGACCATTCGCAGTCACGGCTGCAGCCAATTGCTTCCAAGGTGTTTCCAAACTCTACTCCCCAACCTCCACTCCTAGGTGTTCCTGGGCTGCAGAGGGGCTCCAGAGAGGCTTCAGGACATTTCATTCACTGTCCCACTATCATCACTAAGGGTTGTGCCTCCTCCCCAGCAAGGTGCCTAAGCCCCTTGTACCCTGGCCCTGGCCTCTCTGCAGACTCTTCAATCTTGCTATGAGACCAAGGACCCGCTTTCCCCGTGGGCGCCTCTCCCTGAAACCCTTGTGCCTGCGTCTGTCCACGTTCCCTCTGTTTGGACTTCCTTCCTTCCAGCTCCCTGCAGCACCAGTTCCAGTTCCGTCACTGGGCCTTTGGCAAAATCCCTCACCTGGCTGAGACCTTAGTTCTCTGTCCCTACAATGAAGGTGGGCCCTGGATGCCCTCAGAGTCTCATTCTTGCTCCCGGATTTGACATAAACCTGTCTGCTGTCACTTTTGTGTTTTGTATTCCCCACTCTTCTTCTTTCAGACATGCCTCAAACTCCCCTCCTCCAGGAATCCTTCCTTGATCAGCCCCGTGAATACTCCTGTGTGTGCCCAGTTCCGTTGGTAGCCAGGGGACCTATGCTAATGCTGGTGCCAAGGGACCTTGGCTTCCTCATAACCTCCACTGCCCGAAAGGCCACCCAAATACCCACAACCAAAGTAAAAACAGAGCTTAGAATAGAAACAGTGACCCCTTCTCAGTAAGTTCCCCAAGCATTCTCCCAATCCCCAGCCAGACCTACCCCCAGCCAGACAGTCTAGAAATTCTAGCGTCTACACTATTTTGTTTTGTTTTGTTTTGGAGACAGAGTCTTGCTCTGTCACCCAGGCTGGAGTGCAGTGGTGCCATCTCTGCTGACTGCAACTTCCATCTCTCAGATTGAAGCAATTCTGCCTCAGCCTCCCAAGTAGCTGGGTCTACAGGCACATGTCACCAGGCCTGGCCAACTTTTTGTATTTTAGTAGAGACCGGGTTTCACCATGTTGCCCAGGCTGGTTTTGAATTTCTGAGCTTAAGCAATCGGCTCGCCTCAGTTTGGCGTGAGCCACCACGCACGGCCTAGTCCGTAATCTAGGCTTTCAGTGTCTAAGTCTTTTTCTCGTGTTTATGTTGTAAGCTGCCTGGGTTGAAAAGGACCATGCCTTCTAATTCCTGGCTATGACCTCTTTCAGGGACTTAGGGTAATGACACCAGTTGGTGGCCAAGTAATTTTTAAAATAATAATAATTATTATTATTATTATTTTTTGTTTGTTTTTTATTTATTTTTTGAGACAGAGTTTCACTCTTTTGTTGCCTAGGCTGGAGTGCAATGGCATGATCTCAGCTCACTATAACCTCCGCCTCCCAGGTTCAAGCAATTATCCTGCCTCAGCCTCCCAAGTAGCTGGGATTACAGGCGCATGTCACTATGCCTGGTTAATTTTGCATTTTTAGTAGAAACAAGATTTCACCAGGTCGGTCAACCTGGTCTCGAACTCCTGACCCCAAGTGATCCACTCGCCTTGGCTTCCCAACATGCTGGGATTACAGGCGTGAGCCACTGCACTCGGCCAATTTTTTAATAGTTATGAAGGTGCTTTCACGGCCAGCAGCCCATGTTGCCTCACCTTCTGTGAGGGAGACAGAGCATGCACGATTTCCCCACCTCAGTGGATGAGGAAACCCAGGCTCTGGGAGGTTGAACTCCTCGCATATGGTTAAGTGGCAACGGTTGGCCTCCTACCAGACACACCCCTGCCCAAACGCTGCGTACCATAGGTCAGTGACTTTGAACTGCTTTGTTTGCCAGCTGAGGTTTTAATCCGGTCCCGTGTCAGGCCATGAGCAGTGGCCCCGGGGCTGGCAGGAGAGCCAGAATAAGCAGATTTGGCTTCTAATCTGACTCACCCAACTGGTTCAGAATGCAGCCAAATGGGGGAAATTTGGGTGATTTCCCTCCCCCACTTGCTCTCACAGTTGTCCTCTAGCCCCTCTCTGCACTCCTCCCCCCACCCCCGCCACAGTGCTGGGAAAGTATGGGGGGGTGGGGGGCGGGTTCCTAGGAGGATGTGAGCCCATGGACGGGCGTGGGGGCGGTAGGGGGGGATGTTTTTCTCCTCAGCATTGTTCTCCCATGCCCATTGTCTGTGCTGTGAGCAGGACGTCACCAAGTCGCCTGGCAGGCTCTCAGCAGAGCTGGGGAATGTTTCCGGAGCGGACTCACCCATTATGAATGGCTGAAACTTTTTAAAAGCTCTGGCATTTCTTTGGATGGCCAGACTGGAGAGCCAAAGAGAAGGAAGGTCTTGGAGACTCCTGGCTTTGACGCTAAAGGTCCCAGGGACCTTGGCAGACCCATGATTTACCAAGAGGGCCTTTCAGACTGGGCCTGATTCCCAGTGAGGGATTTGGCAATGTCACGTGGAGAGGAAATGGGGGGGGTGCGGGGGGGGTGGATGGAGGGCTCAGCTGGAGGTGTGGAGGGAGTCAAAATTGTATTATGTTTGTTTACAACACATGACCCCAACACGGGACTTGGCATGGCTCACACCTGAGTATGGGAAAGGACCTAGTCACCTTTGAAAGCTTCACTGAGCTCCCCCCAGAGGAAATGGAAAGTCGGAATTGTTTTGAAGCAGGTCAGTGTTTGCCAGTGGGTGAGTAATGCTCAGCGCTCCCAGAGAAAGTATTCCTCTTTGCATCCCTCTCTTTACCACTAGGCTGGGGGTGCCGCCTCTCTGAGGTGTCCCGTGCCTTGCATACATTTCCTCATGGTTTCATTGGTCTTGGGAGGATCAACTCACAGCAAGACCAATAAGCATGTGTAGTAACCCATTTCTTATAGATGAGGAAGCTGAGTTTCACAGAGGCTGAGATTGCACACAGCTACTTTGCGGCAGAGCTGGGACTGCAACCCAGGTCTGTGACACTCCAAAGTCCATGTTTTACGACAGAATTTCTCAAGCATTCATGTGCATAAGCAACGAGTGGGGTGCCGGCTCAGAGTGCAGATTTCTGGGCCCTGTCCCCTCCTCCTCCTAATTCAGCAAATCAGAGTTAGGGGCAGGAATCTGTATTTTTGACAAATAACAAGTGATTCGGAATGGTTGGAGCCCAGGTTGAGAAACACTGCCGTGGGGCTCTGTTTTATGATTTCAGCCAAGAGAGCAGCAACCTGGTCTGAAAACACAGACGCAGCCCAGGGCCCTGCTGAGCCCGCAAGGGGCGGCCCTCTCCCCTCACTCCACCTCCACCTCCAGAGTGAAATGCGGGAGAAGCAGCCCAGTCTCTCAGAAGGCAAAAGGACCCATCTTCAGCCTAGAAAATCTCTCACTGCACTTTATAACATTTTCAACCCCCAAAAGACAAACCTGAACCACACAATCAGGAACATTTACTCATCCCTCAGATGTTTCTGGGCCCCTGCCATGAGTGAGGGGCTGGGACAGATTCCGCTCAGATGGGTGTAAAGCGGGTTTCTCAGAGATGGATGCATCAGGACCCTACTGCTTCAGAATTATCTGAGGGTTTGCTAAGAATTCAGAGTCTTACCCCAAACCTCCAAAGTCCGAATCCCTGGGGGATGAACTCTGTGAATCTGCATTTGAAATTCTCTCCTCAAGCAATTCTGTAGCAAGCAGAAGTTTGACAAGTGGTTTCCTGAGAGTCTGGGAAGGAAAGGAATTGGGAAGACTGTAGCTTAGGGTCTGGTGGGTTAGACCATGGTAAGACACCCAAACTACAACCTCTGTCAGCCAGGAATGCCTGGGGTGTAGCTGTGGATTTGTGGAAGGAGAGCCGCACATGGCACGGGGAGTTCTGGGTTTGAATCCTGGCTGGGCTACTCTGGGATTCTGGGCCAGTGACTTAACCTCACGGAACTCAATTCCTCACATGCCGTATAGGATACTCTAGTCCACCCCCCAGCGTTGCCATGAAGACCCAGTGAGCCTGCCACAGCTCCGAATGAACAGCCCAGGCTGTGCTGGAAGGAGCTTAGTCTGCATGAAACGGCTCTAGGCAATGCCTCCCTTCAGTGGGCTCCTAGCAGTCTTGAGCTGGAGCTGATCCACTTCACTCTGCTGGGGAGCCAAGGGGTGGGTGGGGATGGCTGGTTAGAGTTCAAAATCAGACTCTGGACACATGGGGTGGCCCAGGGTACCCAAAGAGGGTCAGGGGTCAAGCTGTGCCTCAGAAGCCCCTGAAGAAGATAGTATAACCCTGGCAGGATAGCCTCGGGGTTAAGGGCATAGGCTCTAGAGCCAGAGGGTTCAAATCCTGGCTAGACTGTTTGTTAGCTGAGCGACCTTGGGCCACTTACTTCACCTATCTGTGCCTCAGTTTCCTGATGTGTAATATGGAGATGTAAGAAACATACCCATTTCCCTGACACAAGGGAAAAGCCCTCAAAATATGTCATACATATTAAGTATCTAGTAAATATTAACCATTATTGATTATTAATGGAAGGATTTTGTGCATGGAGACTTTTTTTTTTTGAGACGGAATCTCACTCTGTCACTGAGGCTGGAGTGCGTGGCATCACCTCGGCTCACCGCCACCTCTGCCTCCTTGGTTCAAGAGATTCTCTTGCCTCAGCTTCCTGAGTAGCTGGGACTACAGGCGTGTGCCACTATGCCCAGCTGATATTTGCTTTTTTCAGTAGAAACAGGGTTTCGCCATATTGGACAGGCTGGTCTTGAACTCCTGACCTCATGATCTGCTGGCCTTGGTCTCCCAAAGTGCTGGGATTGCAAGCATGAGCCACTGTGCCTGGCCGGGGACTCTTGTAATAGTTGACTTCATAGTTGTCTGTGTCTGTGCAAGGCTGTGTGCCCTCCACGTCCAGGTTTCTCCCTGGCTGCCCTAATCTGGAGATGGTACCGAAAATGGAGCCAGATGTCCAAGTCTTCCAACTGGGATTTATCCTCTTGGTAAATCTCCTGGGATATGAGGATAAGGATGAAAGCAGCGGCAGCCGGATTAGGAAGCATCTGTATTAGTATCTCTTAAACCAAGGCTTTGGAGAAAGCACAGATGGACACAAAAGGAATTCAACACCTGTCCTTCTCTCTCTATTACTTTTTTTCTGAGACAGAGCCTCACCGTGTTGCCCAGGCAGGAGTGCAGTGGTGAATCCTGGCTCACTGCAGCCTTGACATCCCGGGCTCAAGCCATCCTCCCACCTCAGCCTCCTGAGTAGTTACAACTACAGGTGTGCCCCAGCATGCCTGGCTAATTATTTGATTACTTGTAGAGATGGGGTCTTGATATATTGCTCAGGCTACTCCCTAACTCCTGGGCACAAGGAATCCTCCCACTTCCGCCTCCCACAGTGCTGGGATTACAGGTGTGAGCCACTGCACACGGCCTGCTCTTCTCTTCCATTTCCTTTAGGTTCAGCCAGGCATGGTGGCTCACGCCTGTAATCCCAGCACTTTAGGAGGCTGAGGTGAATGGAACACTTGAGGTCAGGAATTTGAGACCGGCCTGGCCAACATGGTGAAACCCTGTCTCTACCAAAAATACAAAAATTAGCTGAGCATGGTGATGCACACCTGTAATCCCAGGTACTCGGGAGGCTGAGGCAGGAGAATCACTTGAACTCAGGAGGTGGAGGTTACAGTGAGCCAAGATCACACCACTGCACTCCAGCCTGGCTGATAGAGCAAGACTCCATCTTGAAAAAAAAAAAGGTTCAACTTTTATGTGGACTTGGGGGCAGGGCTTGGCTAAGAGACAAAGCAGTCTGTGAATTACTGGATCTTTGTATGCTGAGAAACTGGGAAGGAATGGGACTCTCTGCCAGCTCTGCTCTTCTTCATGAATCTGCTAAAAGACAAGGAACCATCTCAAATGCTCTAAGAGGAAAGGAGACAGATTGGGGTTGGGCTCTGCTTCAGTCACTCCCCTGCTCCTGTCTCCTCCCCTCCTGCCCAATTTTCTTCTGGACAGGGGCAGGCAAGAAGACTTGGAAGCTTCCCAGGAGGGAGTGGAAGTGTCAGGATGTGTTACCTGGGCTCCCAGCCCCATTTTCACCAAGATGACTGACTGAATGTGAGAAAAAGCCCTCCTCCCGCCCTTCTCCTGAGGCCAATCAGCTGTCTCTAAGAGCCCCTTCTCCTCCAGCAAGACCCCTGGGGGTTGGTCGGTACCCATCCTTGGTTTGGAAGATGCAGCTCTGTCTGAGGATGCTGCTAAGTCAAGGGCCCTCCTAGTGGGGAGCAAGCACTGCTGCAGGTCTGGCAGAACACCCTGGAAACGGTGATGCACAGAAAGGAGACACCGCGGTGAAGAGAGGACTGTGGCCAACTGTGACTCTCGTAACCCAGCCATCTCACCGAAGGTGGAGGGAGTAAGAAGTGCTTGTGGTCTTTCAGCCTGCACTTGCCAGCACTTGGCACGCCCCCAGAGTCAAGGCAGGCGCCATCCCAGGGCACAGGGACAAGAAAACAAGGTCCCCACCCACCAGGGATCCAGCCCAGTGGGAAACAGTTGGCTACCTGGTCACAAAGGAGGGAGTCACTGATTCTATCTGGAAGGGGGTGACACATGAGCTGCACAGTGGAGACTGGGTTGCATTTCTGCAGGACAGGGGAGAACAGCTAAGGGGCCATGTTCAGAAACCACCAATTCTCCTGTGCGGGGGGAGGATGGGAAATGGTACGGGAGGAGAATGGAAATGCATTGAAGACACTGAGCTTGGTCCTGTGCACCATGTAGGGGAGGGCAACATCTATTATTTTCTTACTGATTATTAGAGTTGATATGTTTATCAGAAAAAAGTAAGAGAAAAACAGGAAAAAGGATAAAGAAGAAAATTAAAATCACTCATGTGCCAACTACCTATAGATAACCACTGTTAGTTAATATTTTCATGCTTTTGTAAACCAAGATGTTTCTGAGCAGGTGTCAATTAATTTAGAGGTTTATTTTGCCAAGGTTAAGGATGCACGCCCAGGAGACAGGTCTGTGCCTGTCTTCAAAGATGATTTTGAGGGCTTCAATATTAAAGAAGAAAGGGTGGATGTTGGTGAAAGAGGAAGAAATTTTTAAAAGGCATGGGTAGATAAGAGGCAAATGGTTCCATTCTTTTGAGTCTTTGATCAGCCCTTCACATGTGAGAGGTGGGTAGAGGACTAGTCACCTATGCATCCATCTAGCCCAGTGAATCTTCATTTTTACATAAGATAAAACAAACACAGGGGCCAGCACAGTGGTTCAAGCCTGTAATCCTAGCACTTTGGGAGGCCAAGGGAGGTGGATCACTTGAGCTCAGGAGTTCGAGACTAGCCTGGGCAACATGGCAAAACCTAATTTCTACAAAACATACAAAAATTAGCTGGGCATAATGGCGCATGCCTGTGGTCCCAGCTACTTGGGAGGCTGAGGTGGAAGGATCACTTGAGCCCTGGGAGGTGGAAGCTGCAGTGAGCTATGATCATGCCAAAACACTCCAGCCTGGGTGACAGAGTAGAATCCTGTCTCAAGTAAATAAATAACAACATAACATAACATAACATAGCAAACATAGGGCAGAAGCAGCAATCAGATATGCGTTTGTTTCAGGTGAGTGGAGGGATGTCTTTGTGTTCTGTCCTTTGTTTTATCTGTGAAGATAAACTATCAATTTACATTGTCAAGGTGAAATTCAGCAGAACTGTTTTCAAGATCTTGGGACCCACAAGGAATATCGTAGTGGGAAAATTGTGAGAGACGTGTATAGCTTCATTTTCTTCTTCTTTTTTTTAATCTTGTAGCTATTTTATTTATTTATTTGAGACGGAGTTTCGCTTTTTTTACCCAGGCTGGAGTGCAATGGCATGATCTCGGCTCACCGCAACCTCCATCTCCTGGGTTCAGGCAATTCTCCTGCCTCAGCCTCCTGAGTAGCTGGGATTACAGGCACGCGCCACTATGCCCAGCTAATTTTTTGTATTTTTTTCAGTAGAGACGGGGTTTCACCATGTTGACCAGGATGGTCTCGATCTCTTGACCTTGTGATCCACCCGCCTTGGCCTCCCAAAGTGCTGGGGTTACAGGCTTGAGCCACTGTGCCCGGCCCTGTAGCTATTTTATTTAGTGATAAAATGGGAGGCAGGTTTGCCTGACATAGTTCCAAGCTCAACTTTTCCCTTTGGCTTAGTGACTTTGGGGTCCTGAGATTTATTTTCCTTTCACACTTTCAGATTCTTTTTTAAAGAGACCATTAAAAAAGTATGTATTATAATATTCAAACATATTAATATTGCAAAATGCACATTTAAAAAGTACATTAGGATATGGTATATTCTGAATTCAGAGTATGTATAGATTACACACAAATTATTTTAGAGTAATTTAGTATGTGTATACTTTTTAAAAAATAACTAAATTTAGATAATATAAAGGGAGAGTTTCACATTTTACTTACTTATTTAAAATAGAAAACACATTCATGTCTTCCATAATTCAAAAGGTACAAGAGTGTACATAGTGAAAATGTCAGGTTGGGCATGGTTGCTCATGCTCGTAATCCCAGCTGAGGTGGGAGGATTGCTTGAGGCCAAAAGTTTGACACCAGCCTGGGCAACATGGCAAGACTCCGTCTCTGCAAAAAAATAGTAAGAAAAATAAATAAATAAATAAATAAATAAAAATGTCTCTTGCACCTCGTGCCCCATCTGTTTCCCATACTTGGACTCAGTTGGTGGTGTTGTAACCTTACTAGAATTTTATATATAGACAAAAAGTTAAACATATTATTTTCTCCCTCTTTTACACAATTATGACATCTATTAGCCACTATTCTGCATCCGTTTTTTGCATAATCTTAAATAGTATTTCCTATCTGTAGATAAAGAATTTTGTCTGGCAGGCGTGGTGGCTCACTCCTGTAAACCCAGCACTTTTGGAAGTCAAGGCGGGCAGATCACCTGAGGTCAGGAGTTCAAGACCAGCCTGACCAACATGGCATAACCCCATCTCTACTAAAACTACAACAATTATCTGGGTATGGTGGTGTGTGCCTGTAATTCCAGCTACTTGGGAGGCTGACGCATGAGAATCACTTGAACCTGGGAGGGGGAGGTTGCAGTGAGCGGAGATCGTGCCATTTCACTCCAGCCTGGGTGACAAAGCAAGACTGTCTCAAAAAAGAAAAAGAAAAGAATTTTCTCATATTTATGACTACTTAGTATTCCATAATATGGATATATTCTATTTCATTTAACAAATCTCTACATATATTCATTTGGATTGTCTATAAGTTTTTTTTTTTTTTTTGAGACAGGGTCTTCCTCTGTCAGCCAGGCTGGAGTGCAGTGGCAAGACCACAGCATCCTCCCACTCCCAGGCCCAGGCCATCCTCCCACTTCACCCTCCCAAGTAGCTGGGACTACAGGCACACACTCCCACGCCTGGTAAATTTTTAAATTTTTTGTAGAGACAGAGTCTTTCTATGTTGCCCAGGTTGGTCTCAAATGCCTGGACTCAAGCAATCCTCCTGCCTTGGCCTCCCAAAGTGTTAGAGTTACAGCTGTAAGCCCCCACACCCAGTCTGTAATCCTGTGCTTGTATAAGCAGCACTGCAATAAATAACTTGGTGCATATGTCATGTTTTACATGGACAACTTGGTATGCGGGATAACTTCCTGGAAGTGAAACTGCAGGTCAAAGGGCAGTGCAGTTATAATTTGGATGGATATTTTAAATAGCTCTCCATAGAAGTGATGTCAATTGCTTTAAAATGTCCTTCTTTTGCTGTAAATGGGGGACATAATCAAGTCTGAATTTAGAGCTGGTAAGGTTGGATCAGGGGAGGGTAGGCAGGGACCAGCTAGGAGGTTGCTGCAATCATACAGAAGAAACCACCTGGAATGGAACTGTGGGCCAGAACCACTGGACCAAGGCAGTAGAAGATGGAGCCCTGAATTCAAGGAACTTGCCAGACTTAGAACTGACAGGACACAGACACAGCTGGATATGGAGGTGATGAAACAAAGATCTCTGACAGGGGAGAATGGGAAGCTGCGTTTAGAAACAAAAGCAGTGCAACAGGCTGGCCACAGTGGCTCATGGCTGTAATCCCAGCACTTTGGGTGGCCAAGGCAGGAGGATCGCTTGCGCCCAGGAGTTCAAGACCAGCCAGGGCAAAAAAGGCAATACCCTGTGTCTATAAAACACACAAAATTTAGCCAGATGTGGTGGTGTGGTGCCTGTGGTCACAGCCACATAGGAGACCTAGGCTGGAGGATCACCTGAGCCAGGGAGGTCCAAGGTGTGGTGAGCAGTGGTCATGCCACTGCACCGAGCCCGGGGCAACAAAGCAAAACACTGTCCAAAAAAAAAAAAAAAGACGAAGAAGAAGGAATCTCTCAGATTTCAGGAGCCTCTATTTCCCAGCAGGAGAGATATTCATTACGATGATGAAACTCTCAATTTGTTTCATTCATCTATGTTAGGAGAATGTCCATTCTGAAAAAGGTAAAGCATACACATTAAGAGGGAATTTCCATTCATGGGCTGGGCATGGTGGCTCATGCCTGCAGTCCCAACACTTTGGGAAGCCAAGGCAGGTGGATCACTTGAGGTCAGGGGTTCAAGACCAGCCTGGCCAACATGGTGAAACCCCATCTCTACAAAAAAATAGAAAAAATTAGCCAGGTGTGGTGGTGCCAGCCTGTGATCCCAGCTACCCTAGAGGCTGAGGCAGGAGAATGGCTTGAACCCAGGACTTGCAGGTTGCAGTGAGCCAAGATCATACCACTGTACTCCAGCCTGGGCACAGAGTGAGACTCTAAAAAAAAAACTATGTGTGTGTGTGTGTGTGTGTGTGTGTGTGTGTGTGTATGAAATGAAATCCACCTGCTAAACAGGCTGGCTCACTCTTAAATATGGAAAGACAAAGATCATCAGACATTTGAAACACGACCTTAGCATGAAAAAGAGACAAGGATAAATGGTAGTGGTGGTCAGGGCAGTGCTCCATAAGAAAGAAAAGTAATTTAGGAAACATAAGACAAAAACATTTTTAATATTTCATTGGCATTCTCAGATAGATTGGAGAGGTGTTACATCCCTAAACAAGGGCATGATGCTAGGAAAAGGCGTAATCAGAGAATAAGGGTGAACTACTGGAAATTCAAGACAGTATCACAGAAATAAAAAAGTCATTAGAAGGTGTTGGAAAGTAAGAGAATTACTTTTATATCTAAATAATAGTATATCTAGATCCTAAAAATTTCCTTAGAAGTTAAACAAAAAAGGTTACCTCTAAAAATGTAGGAATCAGACTGGCCTCTAAATTCTTACCAGCAAAGGCCAGAACTATGCCTCCAATATCCAATGACCAAAGCAGTTTTCAACCAAGAATTCTATATCCATATCTGTCCAAACTACCATTAAAGTGTGAGCGTGGAGCAATGATAGTTTCAGAAACGAGGGACTCAGAAAACCACACACCCCTTGAGAAATTAAAGATGGTGTGCAGCAAAATGAGAGCATAAACAAAGAAGAAACGAGTAGAAGAAAGGAAGAGAAGGAGGAAGGGAGGAAGGAGCTGCCAGGCCCAGGGCGTCAGTGAAAGGAAGAAGCCCCAGGCCAGCACGTATGTGGCGGAGGGTGGAGGGCTCTGTGTAACATGTCCTGAGAAATAAGGCACCTCTACTCATTTGCTGGAAAGGTGGAAACAGACTTGAGGAAATGAAAAGGGCATTATTAAAGAATGAGCCTGGCATGGTGGCACACGTCTGTAATCGCAGCTATTTAGGAAGAAGGCTTGAGTCCAGCCTGGGTGACATAATGAGACCCTGTCTAAAAAAGAGAGAGAGAGAGAGAAGGGAAGGGAAAGGAGAAGAAAGAAGAAAGGCAATTTGAAACTCTTACAAAAAACTAAAAAAAATAAAAGGAAGAAAATTCATCATAGGACATTGTGTGGCTCTGTAATAAACAATATTTACACTGTAACAAAATGTAAACACTATTTATTGGATTTAAATGATTAGAAGCAACCTATAAGCAAAGCACAGAAGACCTGATTATGGTTAGAAAATTAGAACATAAATGTTGTTAACACTGAACACTTAGAGTACATGTGCTGGGTGGGGCTCATGCCTATAACCCAGCACTTTGGGATTAGGTGGGCATTAGGTGCCCACTCTGCCTAGGTGGGCAGATTGCTTGAGGTCAGGAGTTCCAGACCAGCCTGATCAACATGGTGATACCTTATCTCTATTAAAAATACAAAAGTTATCTGGGCATGGTTGTGCATGCTTGCAATCCCAGCTAGTTGGGAGGCTGAGGCAGGAGGATCGCTTAAACCCAGGAGGTGGAGGTTGCAGTGAGTTAAGATGACACCACAGTACTCCAGCCTGGGTGACAGAGCAAGACTCTGTCTCAAAAATAATAATAATAATGTTCAGAAGACAGAAGTTGGGAAGGGCAGCCTAAAGGGAAAGGTAGGAGTGATGATACCTTTATCCTGTGAAACAGTGAGTCAAAACTACTATCAACAGCTGGTGGGATGAAAAATAAAGATGTAGTCACTTAAGGCAACAAAGGTAATTGACAGATTTATTTTTATTTTATTTAGAGGAATTAGGTAAGAACAGTTATATAACCATCCTGAGAGTAGGATGGGGGAGGGTTGTTTGGATTAGATATGATCATTTTTGATAGTTATAAATTATTATAATTGATACAAATCCTCATTTTTGATAGTTATAAATTATTATTATTATTATTTGTGTGTGAGACAGGGTCTGGCTCTATCACCCAGGCTGCAACCTCTGCTTCCTGGGTCCAAGCGATTCTCCTGTCTCAACCTCCCATGTAGCTGGGATTACAGGCACATGCCACCATGCCCAGCTAATTTTTTGTATTTTAGTAGAGATGGGGTTTCACCATATTGCTCTGGCTTGTCTCAAACTCCTGAGCTCAGGCAATCCACCTGCCTCGGCTTCCCAAAGTGCTAGGATTATAGGTGAACCACTGAGCCCAGCCTCATTTTTGATACTTATAAATTAATAGAGGATGTTTAAACTTGAAAAACTAAGGAACAATGGCATTAGTATATTATTGAGAGATATCGAAGTTACTCCCAGAATAAAGAGCTAAAAGAGTTAGAAGCAGTTGCCTCTGGGAAGCAGGACTAGAGGTGGGAGGGATGAGGTAGGGGACTTATCACTCTAAGCTCTTCTGTTATAGTTTATTTTTAACCATGTGCATGAATTACTGTGATATAAAAAATTTTAAGTGTGTCAGAAGACAGGTGAGAAGGTGGAGGGTGAGAGTTTTTGTGGCCATAGATGAGTTCTGGGGTCCTATTCACAGAGTCATGAAATCTCTTGCAGGTAGGGCTAAAAAACAACCTAGATACATGAGGGTGCTGGAGATGGGAAAATGTTCTCGTTTTTACAAGGAGACAGAAGGTGTTTCTGGAAAATATAGACCAAACAGCTCGATATAGAATCCTGGCAACACTCTAGCACAGATTATTAAACAGATGGCTTGGGAGTGCTTTGTGGCTTCTTATTTATTTATTTATATGCCACCTTATTCCAAAAAGAGGGATCTGTAGTGGCTTACAGAGATACATACTGCACTATAAGA